CCACCCTTCCCAACCCACCCACCCCAGCCTCCTTGTCCCGGTAACCAGGCAACGTATGTGCAGCGACAGTCCTGGGAGCGGGGGAGCAGGAGGCTAAAAATAAACTTTGCAGAAGAGAAGGAGTGAGAGAGACTACATGCAACACAAAGGAACTCAGAAGGGAGGTGGGGGGCTCTGGAAAGGCCTCAAGCTACATGCCAGGGGCTGTCCCAGGCCCCCTTGTAAAGCCTCCTCCCTGGACAATCCCCCCTCAGGGGCCAGGACCCTGGTTCCCACTCCTGGTGGACCCAAGGACCCACCCTACTGCCAGGCCCACCCCTACACCGGCTTTTTCCTCATCTGACATGGCATACATGAGGGCCTGTTCCCAGCTTTGGGGGGAGAAGGAAGAAGGGGGGGTGACGTCAGGGTGTTTCAATGGGGCTCTGTTCCCCAGGCCTTGGAGCCTTGGAGCCAGGAGCCAGGCACCGGCACGGGCAAGGGGAGCGTGTGTGAGTGTGTGCTGTGTCTGAGTCCACGTGCTTAAATCAGGGAACCACCAGGCCTGCACCAAGAAAGCTTGGGAGCGTAGGACCTCTGGAGTATGGAGGGGACAATGGGGGTAGGGAGAGAGCAGCCGACACTGAGAGGGGTTCAGAACATTGTGACACAGGGCGGAGAAGTGGCAGCAGACAGACAGGAAGGGCTGGTACGGCGGGGTCCCAGAAGGCACACCTGGGTCCCACAGAGGCGGGGTAGAGATTCTCCCTGATAGACTGTGGAAACCTGGGGGAGCCAAAACTCCTGGACACCCCCCAAGTTCACATGACTGTCCAAACTTTTTTTAAGAAACTAAGGGGGGTCGGAAGGGAGGGGTGGTGGTAGAGGAAGAGCACGCCGGCCTCCTGGGGGGCCCCACCACCTCCCCCACTCCAGGCAGCCCTCGGTGGCGCCAGAGCCGGGAAGAAAACAGGAAGTGGGAAACAGCCGCGCAGAGGAGAGAGGGGCCGGGATGGAGGATCGGATGGAGGGGCACACAGCTGCCGACCAAGAGGCAGACAGACTGACGACCCGACCGACGACCCGGAGACCATCCCAGGCCCCCGCCCCTTCCCCTAGCCGGGGAACCCGCAAGCGGCTCGGCCCCAAGACAGGGTTGGGGGGAGCAGCCCAGCCGGTCCCACAAGGGGAAGGCCCCTAGCAGGGAAGGAAGACGAGGCGGGGTTGTTTGATCGCCTGGGCCCACTCCTCGGGGCAAGGGTAGTCTCCTGCAGCCCCCAAAGCCCAGCGTCCCTGGAGCCCGTGGGAGCCAGAGAGTAGTACGTGGGTCGCACGTGACTGACCCTACAGCACTCTGCACCCCTGCCCCAGCCCCCCTCCTCGGTCCCGACCCCTAAGCGCCTCCCCAAAGCTCCGGAGCCCGGCTCCGAGCCCTTTAAGAGCCGCCCCCACCAGCAGAGGGGGG